GCAAAGAACTGTGCTCTTCGAAAGTGCATGAGGTGGTGGAAAACATTGTTTTTTCACATGATTGACATAGCTATTGTCAACAGTTACATTCTATTTCAACTTCATCATGCAGAGCACCCTGACAATGAAGCACTCAAGCGTTCTCAAAAGTTTCCAATTGCAGAGTATCGAGAGGAACTTGTGAGAGATCTAATGGGCATGGATGAATACGGAACACCTCCAGTGTTCAAGCCCCCAACAAAGGAACCTGGGGAGTTTGTTACTGTGCATATACCAAAGTTTACTGACACTAAGAGGAACTGTAAAGTTTGTTATAAAGCAACACAGAAGGAAATGAAAGTTTGGTCTTGCTGCAGTGCACCACAATGTAACAATGTTTATCTACATTGTACTCAGGATAAAAACTGCTTTGAGATTTGGCACAGCAAGGACTATCACCGTGATTAATTGTAGAAAGACACTTGTAGTTGATTTAAGTTGTTCTTTGTTAGGTAAGGCCCCTTGAAACCCTAAAGGTAGCATCATAGCATTGGTTGGGGGTACACGGTCCCCATTTTCCACCTGGTGGTTTTTAGGGGTTTACGTGTCTGGCTGTGGTGCATGTAGATTTTTATTTTTAAAAACTAATTGCTATTTTATACAAGTAGAATATTTGAAATGAGTGGTATTTAACTTAAATTGTGCTCATGTAGCCAATGGGCACTTGTATCACCCGTGCACCCATATGGGTGTAGTGAAGGCAAAATGGGGCTTTTGAAAAGAAATAGGCATAACTTTGTGAATTTTCATTGAATTTCAATCAAATTTTCAGGAAATATAGAGTATTTAATGGGAAACAACTTTCCTTTGTTCAGTTTTCAATGCTACATAAAGAGATGTTACTAAAAATTTTCTCCTAAAAAATGTGTATTGCGTGACTTTTTAATTAGCATAAATTGGCCTAAATTAATTAATTAAAAGAGACTCAAAGAAACTGACAACATAGTCTTGATGTCCATTTATTTAGCTTTAAAATGACATATGGCATAACAAAATTGGTGGAATACAACATGAGCCGGTCATTTTTTACCAAAACATGTCAAAAATGGCCATTTTTTGGGGGTGTCACCAAAGGGTTAAAAGTAAAGAAGAAATGGCTACAATCGAAGGTCTAAGTAATCTGTACCAGGAAGTTAAGCACACTAACCAGAAAGTGCTGTGCATGATACAAGCAGATCCACAAAACAACTCTGAGTGAGCAGCAGTAGATTTTCTAAAATGTTTTGTGAGATGAATGGATCAGGCTCAACCTAATTCTTTCTTAAGTTATGTTAAAGACACAGATGTCCTCTGTGTACCACATATCTCAGTCCAGTTTTAAACCTTGGATGGATTAGCAAGACGGCCTGTCGTGCATATCTGTGGTTCTGTTCTGGAGCTCCATCCATGTATATGTTTCCAGAATTACAGGAAGAGTTCACCAATATTCTTGCCAGGACGTGGCAAGATGATATTATGTAACTGGGCCTAATTTGTACATGATCTGAAACATCTACTCAATTCCTATTTACTTTATTGGAGAACTGGGACTTTGCTGTGTTTACAAATTGTGGAGTCTGGCTGTTAACTGTTACTATAACGGATACTCCAAAATATGGTGGACACCTTGCGATGTTTATATGAACATAGATACAGTACTGTATACAGACATCCTCAACTGCCAAGGTTTTATAGAGGAGAAAAAATCCCTTTCAAGATATTTTCTCTTCTAAAGGTGATTGAGGATATTTCACCTCACCTTCACCTAACTACTTCATGCCAAGTGGCACATAAGGCCTCATTAAGGATATTTACACATTTAAAAATAAATGAATAAAAAATATAGCTTACTTTATTTTTCAGGTATCCAGCTTTGTAGCGCCCTTTCATAGGCTTAGGATGTTCATAAATTTACCTACATATTAACGTCACAAGGTACCCAACCATATTTTAGAGTATTCTTATTTTAACCCATTGACTCCCAGAGTTTTTTGCCAAAAATGCATTTTTTGGACATTTTGGAGATTTTCAGGCTGGATATGGGGCTCATGACTTGTGTATGACGACCTGACAGATGTCATTGCACTGCAGATGAAAAGAGTAATTGTAGCACAGAGGAACAGGAGAACAGAGGAAGAGTAGGAACAGAGGAACAGGGGGATCAGTAGGCTCAGAGAAGAGAGGAAAAGTAGGAACAGAGGAACAGTAGGCACAGAGGAACACGGGATCAGCAGGCACAGAGGAACAGGGGAACAGTAGGAACAGCACAGAGGAGCAGTAAGCAAAGAGGAGCAGATGAACAGTAGGATCAGAGAAACAGGGGAACAGTAGGCACAGAGGATCAGTAGGATCAGTAGGAACAGAGGAACAGGGAAACAGTAGGAACAGAGGAACAGTAGGAACAGAGGAACAGAGGAACAGTAGGAACAGGTGAACAGTAGGCACAGAGGAACAACGGAAGAGTAGGCACAGAGGAACACGGGAACAGTAGGCACAGAGGAACAGAGGAACAGTAGGCACAGAGGAACAGAGGAACAGTAAGCAAAGAGGAACAAAGGAACAGTAAGCAAAGAGGAGCAGAGGAACAGTAGGATCAGAAGAACAGGGGAACAGTAGGCACAGAGGAACAGAGGATCAGTAGGAACAGAGGAACAGGGGAACAGTAGGAACAGAGGAACAGTAGGAACAGAGGAACAATAGGAACAGGGGATCAGTAGGCACAGAGGAACAGAGGAATGGTAAGCAAAGAGGAACAGGGGAACAGTAGGCACAGAGGAACAGAGGAACAGTAGGCACAGAGAAACAGGGGATCAGTAGGCACAGAGGAACAGAGGAACAATAGGAACAGAGGAACAGGTGAACAGTAGGCTCAGCGGAACAAAGGAACAGTAGGATCAGAGGAACAGGGGAACAGTAGGCACAGAGGAACACAGGAACAGTAGGCACAGAGGAACAGGGGAACAAGAGCTTTGGCCACAATCTGATAGTCGCAATTAAGTAAGGCAATTGGACACCAGTTCTTAATAAGAAATGGTTCCGGATCTTTTTTCGGAATGATTTCAATTATTCCTCGTCTTTGAGTCACTGAGAACTGCCCCTTCTGGTACGTGTAGTTGATCAAGGTTACCAAGTAGTCAGAGCCTGGTGTTTTTTTTCTGGTTCCATGCTTTTCAATGCTTGTAGACACTCTGATTTGGTTAGCAAACCTTCACAACTTTCTTTTTCATCTGCATTTAGAATATTTCTGTCTTCAAAAAAGTTGAAATTTGAGGGTACGGATTGTTGTTCATTTATGCAGGATTTATAAAGATCTCTGTAGAAATTTTCACACCGATGTAATATCTCTTTGTCCAACATAGCAAATTCATTTTGTCCAGTTTTTTACTGGCTAATAACGCTGTTTTTAAAATGCCTTTTCTCGAGATTTAGAAAATACTTTGTGTTTTTTTCACCCTCATTATGCCATCTGCATTTGGCACGTAATATTGCACCTTTCGTCCTATATTCAATAATTTTTTCCAGTTCAGCTTTTTTTCTTCCAGATCCATGGAGGCTTTTTTTTTCTTGATCTCTATTGTTACTGGATTCTATCAATTCTTGCAGTACATTAATCGCTTTTCCTATTTCTTCTTCTCTCGAAGTACATGTAGAAGTTAGCCTACGGTATGGGGAATTGTCTCATGCAATACCAAGTAGTTATTGGAATGCATTTAATATATTTGAAGGCTCAAGAATATCATGAATGTTTCAAAGGAAAATTCTGGAAAAGTCTAGGAGATTCAATCGCCTTTGGTTGACACAGCTTTATATATACCAATTTTACATTTCAGACTTAATATGACTTGCAAATGATGTTGAAACAAACCCAGGGCCTGACACAGGTTACATTGAGAAATTTCCAGTAAACACAATCAATCAAAAATGTTTATCAAGCAATGAACCACTGAATAACAGTAATGGAACTCTTGTACAAAACAGTACCGAACTGGACAATTTAAAGAGAAAGAATGAAAATATTGAAGACAATGTTTACAGTGGAAAAAAACCTAGACTGGCTACCTCAAAAGAAAGAAAAGAAAACAGCTGTGTAGAGACCCTCAATGTAAACTTTAATGAGGACAGAGATGCTGCTTTTCTTTTTACTCCTTGTAATGAAAGAGCACAGTCAATTTGGTGTTCAGCCCTCAATCTCCCATTAATTGTGAAACACAATTCAAAACCTTCAAAGAAACTTGAACAACCATCAAAGCTATTTAAAATACAAGGTGATGGTAATTGTCTTTTCAGAGCACTATCTCATGTTATAACTGGTAGACAAATATATCACACTATTGTAAGACAGCAAATATTATATCACATGAGACATATAGAGAATCTTTTGCTTCCACACATGAATTCGTCTTTAGATACTTATTTAGCTAGAACAGGGATGGCTAGAAATCAAGTTTGGGGCACAGACATTGAAATATTATCTGCTGCCTCATTGTTATCCACTGACATTTATGTGTACACCAGATTTGCTATCGATAATATCAAATGGCAAAAGTTTTCAAGAATTATGCTAGATGGGAACATACCAGAAAATAACTGCTCAATTTACATTAAGAACTCCACTGGAGATCACTATGACATAGCACATGTACTTGATGTGTGTTCAGCTGGTCAGCAACAGATTCCAGAAAGCCACCTCCTTGGTAAGATTTCTCACATTCAACAGAAAAACAAAACAAATGCAGACACATCCAAAAATGTGCCTTGCCAGCAAAAGCAAAAATGTGATACCAATATCCAAAATGCAAAAAGAAAAACAATTACAACTGTTTTATTGAATGGAAACAAAGAAAGAAGTTGTTCACAAAACAAGAGCAGTTCTCTAAACAAGAAGAATGTGAAACAAAAAGTTCCTTCTGTACAACAAACTAAAGTCCAAACAAATTCAAATAGATGTTGCAAAAAAGCAAAGTTGCTTAGTGAATGCCAAAGTAAGACAAAACTCCAAACTCCAAATAGAAGCAGTGTCACTGAAAGAGATGCCAAAAAAGATATTGCTTCATTTCACAAGTCGCTAGACTATACTATTTACCAGTGCACAATCTGTTCTGAGGCTTAGCCACAAAAAAACAAAAAGAAAACAGCAAGGGAAAGCAGTTTCTGTATATGTGTGTTCTAACTGTTCAAAAGACAAACAGACACCTAAAAAATTTTCTAAAGAAAATTCAATGATTCCATCTTCAGTTCCCATGGAACTACAAAATCTTACACAAATAGAAGAAATGTTGATTGCCAGGGCTCTCCCATTGATCAGAGTTGATATGAAACCAGGAGGTCAAAGAGGTTATTCTGGTCATTGTATCATTTGCCGCAAAGCATTAATGAGTTAGCAAACTCATTGCCTCACTATCCTAAAGATATCCCAATCATTGTTGTTAGTATGAAAGGAAAAGGAAAAGGAAACACTTTTAAAGATGTAACAGTAAGAAGGAATAAAGTTGAAGACGCTTTACAGTGGTTAAGTCTACATAATCCTTTATATAAGGACATTAAAATTAACCAAGATTCTTTAAATTCTCTACCTCAAAATGGCATTCCATCAGACCTTCAGACAATTCAAACAACCAGTGATACCTTAAACAAAGAGACTGATCATAGTTTCTCAACTGGTAATGAATTAGATCATGATTCTGACATAGTGTTTAAGAACAGTACTGAGACAAGAGTTTTCTTCCCATCAAAACTAATGAAAAACTGGAAACAGAAACAATTCAAGATCAAACAGGTGTGAAAACTGTCAGTTGGCCAACTGTTTTAAATCAAGCACTCAATGAATATACAACACCATATTTGGCAACCATGGCATTTCCAACATTGTTTCCAGATGGAAAAGGTGACCCAACCACTCCCACTGTAAAAAGAGATGTTTTCTTCTGTAAGAAAATAAAACACCTCCTAAGATTTGGTGAATGTGTAAATGGACATTGGGTGTATCGTTTTGCTAACCATCCTCGCTTCTCCTATTGGGCATTAAATATGATTCAAAGAAAACGTGCTTTGCAACAAAGCTCTGTCTTCATCAAACAGAATCCAGGTGAATCTCATCTTACAATAGAGCAGTTACATGACATGGTGTCAGACAGTGGTTTCACAGCTTTCATGGCAAAGCTCTCAAGATATGTAAGCACTATTACAGGTAGCAATGCTTACTAGAATAAAGTAAGCGATGGGTTGAAATCAATAATCACTGCCAAGGGAGTTCCAACAATCTTCTTTACTTTTTCTTCAGCTGACATGCATTGGCCACAGTTACATTCACTTTTCTCACATAAACCACATAATCATACTAATGAGGAAAGGAGACAGAATGTAATTAACAATCCACATATTGATTGGTTTTTCAACCAGCATTTGGAAAGTTGGTAAAGGTAAAGAATCCGATCCCACCAATGCGTCGGCTGACACATCAACGACGCGCTGGTCGACACACCACCGACTCATCACCGACACACTACTGACGCATTGGTCGGCACATTGCCGATGCGTCGGCTGACACACTACCAATGCGTCGGCTGACACTCTACTGACGCGTTGGTCAAAATATTTTCCCTTTTTAACTATTATTTTGTTATTTCTTTGTTGGAAGCAAGAACAACTTCATAAGAAAGGACGAAAACGTGATAGCTAAATAGCGGCCATTTTTAAAATGAAACACCAGTACTGAGGTCTTCTCAATGTTTTGTCAAGGGTCGGTTACCAAAGGGAGTTTATTAGCAAGTCGGCCGACATATTGATCTCACCGACACATTTATTTTTCGTTCATTCGGAAGTTTATACTCTTTATTGATCATTGACTTTTTAATATGTGGTGGCTCCTAAAGGAGCC